TAAGAATCCATGGGTGCTCTCACCAAACCAACTGCGTCTGTGCTACACTTGCCCAATTTTTTTCTCCTACACAGATGTAAAAACAACGGATAAAACACGAGCCGCTGATATTAACAACATGGTGAAAATGCTAAGGTGAAATGAGTGAAAGACCATAGCGTATGAATCAAAAGGTCTACGACGGAAGCTCTATGAGTTATTTTCCGAAGCTAACGTGATTTCCTGATGGTTGAAAGGCGATAGAAATAGGTAGCAGTGCATTGGCCCTAAGCCTGGTAAACAGAACGGGAGCGTTTGACGTCATTCTAGGAGTGAATGAGAAGAACTCGTGGAACCAGTTCGATGACGAGAACGAACTTTTTGTCACGTTCCTGCTCCCCAACGTAACTGGTGGTAAAATAGTTCCGATTGGCGTAGACGAATGGGTGAACTTTACGCACATGTTGGGTAGAATGTTCCAGGATTTTCATTGCCGTAAACAAATCCTGAAAGGAAATGTGCTATTCCTTGAAAGCACGATGGCAGAACAATAGCCACTGTCTCCTTTGGTCGAATGGAGCGGCAGTTGCCGACTTTCTTCGTGGGTTTCTCTCCAAAAAGCACGATAATGTTGACTTGCCGACTTAGAAGTGTCGAGAGGATCTCCTGAGCGGGTGGGCAGGCCTCTCTTGTAGGTCAGGGTACGAGTGTCCAACCTTGGAATCGTGGGAGGTATCGTCTTTGAGGCGATAGTGTAGCCGCAACCCAGGTGCTATAGCGGCTTCATTGGGCTAACGTGTTGGCTAGTTCCCTTCGTCCGAGCTTTGGAACATAAGGTAGGTTTCGTTGAGACCACCGTATAGATGGGGATCTTAACCAAACTATTCTGGGCCCAATACGAAGTGCCGCATCTCCACAACTATGATCTTCCAACCGGCTTTACAATTTTTGAAGTTTAGGGCTACTTTTGTGAACAGCTGTTTCTTAAACATTCTCCTGATGATTCGTTTCATAGCGCGGATATTACTACTTTGCAAGCGACCTTGTTCAGTTGAAAGCAGTTGTAGTGCATGCCCACCATAAACTGCCGCACTTTAAAGGATGGTGTAGCTAACAATAAAGAAGTTTCAGGCCAATACGATGCTCAGTCAAAGATTCCTCCTCGACCAAAGCCTGGCCTTGGTTCGGGAGAATTTCTCTCTGCGCCGATATCATATCGAAATCTAATTATTTTTTCCGCTCTATTTTTCACCCTGCTTCTTCAATGTACCATGGAAATCACTAGCTCAGTTGATTTGTAAC